TTCATACATAATCGCTGGTACACCTACCTAATATGTATGTACATACTATTTTTTTGAATATTTTACAAATTTTATATACATTTTTACCGCGCGTGTTTATTGCATTATACACACACCTTTAGCAGATTTTTCATTTTTGTCACTTTCAATTGTGCGTTAAATTTTTAGTACAAATTAATTGTTGCAAAATTTGTATTGCAAAAATGAAAATGTGATATGATTTTTGTGTTGTCATTATGTCGATTGACGCCATTAAATTGCGACAAAACAGTTAGCCAGATAACCCCCTTAACATTTTTTTTTAATTTATGTGTTACTTGCCTTTTTATTGTTTTATTTATTTGTTTTCTTTTTTGAAGTTGATAGTTTGTAATTTCATTTAATTTATTAATAAAATAACATCAATTTATCAATAAAAAAATTAACTTCGGTTGCGCCGAAGCTAGAATACCCTTTATAAATAAAGAAGTTTTTATACAAGAACTTTATTTTGATCGCTCAATTTGTATGGTAGCTATATACTATGGTATAGTGGTCCGATATCGACGGTTCTGACAAATGAGCAGCAGACTTTATAGCTCCTCCGACGTTTACTTCTTGGTGTTACATACTTCGTGGCAAATTTAATATTGTATATGTATATACATTGTATTTAAAACAATAACCTGTATAAATATTTTCATTACCATTCCTATTACTTTTGCTACTATGTAAAGTATATTAACTTTTTTTATAATTTCTATAAATTTAAAGAATTTTTCTTCCCATTCTGCTAAGAGATGAAAAGAAATTTTGTCGCGACCATTTTTAAATTATTCCCGATGCCGCCACACATTTCTACTACAAACAAATACTTTTATGACTTATTGAAAAATAATATAAATTTTTTGGTTATAAAATTCTCTCGCCTTTGCCAAAACTTGCACATTCATATTAATTGCTTAAACGCTAATTGTAAGAAATAAATTTTTGTTGATTTGTCACATGCTTTTTGCAAATTAAAATTGTCATCTACTATTTTGCGACTTCTGCGTAGCATGTGAGAATAATTAAAATGTCGATGTTTACATAATTATTCTACGTGCCTCATATAATATACATAAGTTATTGTAAATTGCAAAAAGAATATGTGTTCTGAAAATAACAGTCGAAATTTATTAAAATATTATATAATTATTCCGAACTTAGAAATCAGCAAACCTTAGTTCTCCTCAACCGAATAGTTCTTATAAGCCATCCTACAACTTATTACGGAAGCTCAATGTAGAGAATATGGTATAATATGAGAATATTGACAACCCTCAATTCTGCATTAATTGTTAAGTCACTGATTATCACCTTCAAAATAGAGTAATTTCGAGTCAATGCAAGTAAAGTTTAATCCAATCTTCCATATTTATTCAAAAAACAATGGTAAACGTAAGGATCAGAGCCTGAAGGGGAATTAAAAAGTTATAGCGACCGAAAGGCGACATAGCCGTATATGATTGTACTTTGCTTGAAATTCATATCTTCTAGTAAAGGTTTAGTTCTAACAACTTGTTTAATACCAGCCCCATCAAGCAAACCGTTCAGTTATTACAACGATTCATAATACATACGAGTACATATAATATATAATATATTGACAGTTATCGAGATTGTCGAGTACAATTGTGCCCATGTTAACACTGATTGAAGAATTTCATTAAAATAAGCATAAATAATAAATTATCGTAAACTCTGCGAATTGAAGAATAAATAAAAAGTGCAATGGGGACTTAAAATCCACAATATCTAACTTAACCTAATTATTTATTTCTATAGAAGGCAAGTTATATTAGTGAGGTCATAGAGATTATGTTACAATAACCATTTTAAACAACCTTGAGTTTTGGAAATTTGCTTTAAAGAAAACTATTTCATGATATATTTTAAGAACAATTAGTCAATATACACAAATATTAAAAATATATATAGATGCATATATATTGTATAATTTATATTTTTGCGTTTTTCCAAGTTGCTCTTTTCTTAGCAGAGGTTTGAACCAAGGTCTAGAATAATTTTATTCATATTCAACGCTAATCCACATTACTTTTAAGAAAACTTGGCCACTTAATTTCATTAAAATAATACACATATTGCCCAACATAAATGGTTTAAAGTCAGGTGGAAAATCCGAAATCACTATTTAGGGTAAATTGGGGTCAGATGAAGACTGATTGCTGTTATACTCGAAATCATGTTTTCAATCAATTTTATAAATATATAACTCACACACTGACCGACGTCTTCGGTATAAAGTCTGTTAGAATAACGGAAACATCTCAAGTACATGGGAGCTGGGGTAATTCGTGAAGCGATTTCATACATTTTAGACAATAAACTATAGTACAAGTATTTTCAAAGTTATACGTATATTTATTATTGCTAAGACATCTTACATATTGACCGATATACGCTACATATCTAACCGGAAGTTTAAAATTCTTATATTATGTATATAGGAACTAAGGGAAGTATTGACTCGATTTTATCCGATATTTTCAGAGAAACCCAGCTAAAAGTACTGAAGTCCACATATTTGATAACTGGGGAGTTGCAAAGTTATGCTCCGATTTCCACTGTTTTTAAAGGTGCGATGGCATATCTTATATACACTATTTTGGGCAAAGTTTTATTGCAAACATTTCATTGGAGATTGTTTTCATTAATTAAGGTGAAGGAATCATATGGAATACAAAATTCTGTTATATGGGAAGTGGAGTGTTGTTCGATTTCACCCATTTTTACAATGTAATATAAGAGTGTAAAAATATTATTAGTAGTTCTTGAAATTAGTTTAGTAGTTCCTGACATTCAAGGATTCACTTAGCAGTTGGGGGGCCACGACCAATTTTGATGCTGACTCTGATAAAGTAATCAGCGCGGCTGTCAAATTAAATGCTTCCGGCGTATTTATTTAGTGAGTTATAGCACTTTCAAGAGTTTCCAACATAATCATTATATGGGGAATGGACGTGGTTATCATCTGATTTCATCCAATATCGGAGTGTATAAAAAAGTACTAATCAAGATTTTCTTTTATCAAGTTGGGTTGAAATAGCTTTAGTGATTTGTGAGATATTCACATAAAAACTATTAGAGAGCGGGACCACGCCCACTTGTTAACAAAATTTACACCATAGGTGCCCATTAATACTTCAATGACTTCCTCTGTATTTTGTCTTAGTTTTTGGCTTAGTTATGGCACTTTATACGTTTTCGATTAAGAGCATTGGCTCGATTCTGCCCACCCAAAATACCGAACTTCTAATGGTGCCAAGTTTCATTAAGATAGCGGATTATACTGAGCTGTAACTCTAAATATACAATATATGAAATATTCATTTAAAATTTTAGTACATTATTTGTAAAGATATAGACTATCAAGATTTTCAAAAACAAAACATTGTTATTTGAATTTTCTCACTAGGTGTGCCTCTTAAAATTAGTAACAATTTGCCGGCAGTTTAACAATGACCACTGACGTAAAGAATGACAAATGAAACCGGCCACAACTGACAGCTGTTGCTAACAACAAGTCGGACAAAAGCAAAAATAAACATGTTGCCGGTAGTGCAGAGAGTGGCAGCGAGCTAAAACGCTCATTTTGTGTTAAAGAAAAAAAAAATAAAACACAAATGAGAGAAAAAATAAATAAAAATCAAAAGAGATTTTAAATGTGGCAACATGCCATTGACAAACATTTTGGGCGTTGATTGGACGAACACATACAGATCACCATTTGGATATGCCTTCAAACGATCACAGAGCACACAATTTTGATACTCTCGTAACATGTGGTTACAAAGTATAATAGTTGTTTTCACCTACCGCTTGTTTGTATCACATAAATCTAACCGCGATAGGTATGGGTATATGTATATAAATGATAACGATGTCGAGACGAGTTGAATTCCGAGTGATTGTCCGTCCGTCCGTCCATCCATGCAAGCAGTAATTTGAGTAATAATTGAGATATTTTGATAAAACTTGGTGCACATATTCCTTGGCACCATAGGAAGTTTGGTATTGTAGATAGGCGTAATCGGTATATCTACCAAATTTGGTCAGGACAATTTTTTTCAGCACCTCCTCATAGAGGATTGTTATTTTTATTTTTATTTCATATATCATTTCAATTTTATATTAATTTATATTTTATATGATTCTTTCACTTTATTTTTTATACATCGAAAGTTAATGACGTTTTCAAAAAAAAAAAAACGCTTTGCACAAATATGTATATTTTTTCGTTATTCTAGTAGAATTTATGCCGAATATGTTGGTCAGAGTCTTATTTATCTTCATAAAATTGCGTGGAAATATGTTATCGAGTATTCTTGAGTAATGTATAGTACATAAATTTTATTTGTGTTAACTAGGCTCCTTTAAATTAAAGTATCTCGAACACGAAGCAAAATGAAGTAATGGAACTACGTGAGCCTATGAATTTCTACGCAACATTTTTAATATGAATATTTGTCCACAGCCTCAGCTTAGAGCTTTGCAAATTGCCAGAGTACAAAGTTTTCAGTTTCACCCGAACATAGCCTTCCATACTTATTATTTTTTGCAAACTGTTGTGACGAACAACGAGACAGCAAATTTTTGATGAATAACAATTTTGGGAAATTGCATACACATAATCGTACCTACATAAAAAACAGCTGCGCCGAAGTCGAACGACAAAATACCGACTATGCCAAAGCTAGAAATATAATTTTAAAAAAATATTCATAATATTTATATTATTTTTTATTTTTATTTTACCGCCAGCCAATCAAATTTTGAAATTTTTTTGCACGCCGTTGTTGCCAATTTCGGCGAAAATCACTTAAACAACGCTTTCGTTCAACGGTCAACAGCCGCGCACTGCTTGCTGTTTTTATTTTTGTTTGTATTTATGTAGTTTTTGCATTTTATTAAGCATTAGGTATTTAAAAATAATCTCCTACTAATTTATTTTTGAATACCTGTATTTTGTTGCTGGTGTTTTTATTCTTGAGTGCAATTGTTGTTGGCCGCTGGTTTCCGTCGCTTTCGATCTCAAAATAATCGTTATTTTTATTACACAAGAGCTAGATCTTTCTTGCTTAACAACTTTGGTATATATATGTATGTACTTGCTACTGGTCCAGTGACTTTTTGAGTTCGCTGGTGGTGAACTCTTGGTAGAAGTGGTCGTAAATTATGAAATTTCTTTTTTGAAGATTTGCCTTTTATAGTATTTTAAATGATTTATGGTTGCTGTGATTTTTCGATCGCCTATAAAATCTGCTAAATTTATGAGTGTCCATTACAAAAATTGAGAGGCTCTTATGGTCTCATTTGACAGAGTTTCTACCTGAACAGTGTCATTTTCAGTTTTCAAAATAAAACTTATTCACGATTTCATACTTAATTTTGTTGCCACTGATTGTAATTAAAAGTTCACTACGATTTGTGAAAAGTTAACTTTTAAAATTTTTTTGTTTTTACTTAATTTTTGTTCTAAGTTTGAGAAATCGAATACGCCAAATAATTTTTTCAAATATAAACAAGTAAGACAGGATGTAACTGAAGATTTCATTCCCTTGTAACTTCCAGGATCAAAGCCAGGGAAATGCATATTTTACATATTTTCGGCATTAAACTATAGAATATCCGATATTATACGTTCAGTCAAATTTGCAAGGGTATCTCATTATTAGGTATACGGGAGCTAAAGGAATTATTGACCCGATACAACTTATTTTTGACATACAGGCATATTATTATCAGAAAAAGGATTTTGTTTGAATTTCTATAATATATCTCGTAGTTGTTAACAGCACCGTTATACGGGGAGCTCTTAGAGGCTGGAGCCATGCTTGTTTTTTCAAAGTTTTTAACCTACAGGTGCCTCTTGCTACTGTGATCACTTGTGCCAAATAAAAGTTTTATATATTAATTTAGGGCTCAGTTATGGCATTTTACAAATTTTCGTTCAATTGCGTTTGATGGGCGTGGCAGTAGTCCGAGTACGCCCATTGAAGAACTCTTCCTCACTTTTTCCCAAGAAACCCGTGTACCAACTTTCATTAGGGTATCTCAATTTTTACTCAAGTTGCAGCTTGTACAGACAAACGGACAGACAGACATCCAGATTTCAACTCGTTTCGTCATCGCAATCATTTATAACTCCATATTTATCTTGATTAGTTTTAGGTGATACAAACAACCGTTAGCTGAACAAATCTATTGCAACATGCTGCAAGAGTATAGAAATATGATATAGAACTATAAAAGTATTTTCCTTATATAATCACCATCCTAAAGGTTTTATTTTACTGCCTTCAGTGGCAAGTATTCTCTGGATTTTGGATGCAGTTCCGAATACGCTGAAGTTTATGAAATGTTTCTTTATGTCCAGAGTTCCATACGACACAGCTTCGTCGCACCTACTTTTGTTGGAGTGTGTTTGACGGAAAAATATGTTAGATCGTGACGTCGTGAATTGTTTCCCGAACAGTTGCAAGTAACTGGATAAAAATGTGGTTTGAAAATGTAGAAATCGGTAGTAATGAGCCTCTCTTAATTTTTTAATACTTTAGGTACTTTTAAATAATTGTTAAGAGTTTCTTAATACATTTCCTGGTGTTTTATCTTTGTGATAATAATATTAAGTTTTCATCAAAGTATTTTTAAATTTTCCATTAAAAAATATTCTAAATAAAGGAGATCTTTTCCAAAAGATGCGTAAAACAAAACTTCTCCGAATACTTTCGTAAGACCTCACCTTTGCTACTTTTTAAATTATTTTGCATAGCTGTCCTATTGGCGAAAGATGAAAAGATTCTTCGAACCAAAATGTGTCTCAGTACTTATCGGATTTGACTCGAAATGTTCGCTTAAACGACTTATATTTGACACACAGTTTTTACTATTTGCTCTGTTTTTTTTATTTTTATTTTCGATAGGTGGCAACTCTGTTTAAGAATATTTAGAAATACGTTGAGAATTCGTAAACGACTAATGTTTGCCATCATTTATAATATTTTCTGTTTTACTTTTTGAATGGTTGGCTACTCTATTCCAAAAGTTTCCAAATTGTGAATTATAGGTTTCAAAATGTTAATGTAAGCCTTCTTATAAAATTGGTTAGGCAAGCGTGTATGCTTATTTCTTGAAATAAATCTTATAAATTATCATAAAAACATGCTTTTTCAATAATAAACATTTCGTTTTTGGTTATGCGTGACCACCAGTGTAGTTCTATTTTTATTCCTTTTGTTTTTGTACATATTTTGACGTCAATTGTCTTATTGAACAAGTGGTCGCAACGTACGAATTATAAGTTCATTTGTCCTTCGTCTAGGGTTCGTCATCTATTTTTGAGTCGAAAACACATACACATGTATATTTATACTCTCGCAACCTGTTGCTACAGAGTATAATAGTTTTGTTCACCTAACGGTTGTTTGTATCACCTAAAACTAATCGAGTTAGATATAGGGTTATATATATATAAATGATCAGGATGAAGAGACGAGTTGAAATCCGGGTGACTGTCTGTCCGTCCGTCCGTCCGTCCGTCCGTCCGTGCAAGCTCTAACTTGAGTAAAAATTGAGATATCTTTATGAAACTTGGTAGACATGTTTCTTGGTACCGTGAGAAGATTGGTATTGCAGATGGGCGTAATCGGACCACTGCCACGCCCACAAATCGCCATTAATCAAAAACAAATAACTTGCCATAACTAAGCTCCGCAATAAGATACAAGACTGTTATTTGGTACACAGAATCACATTAGGGAGGGGAATCTGCAGTTAAAACTTTTTTTTAAAAAGTGGGCGTGGTCCCGCCTCTAATAGGTTTAATGTGCATATCTCCTAAACCGCTAACGCTATAATAACAAAATTCACTAGAAGCAAATGTTTTTAGCACTTCTATTGACGGTGTGAAAATAGTTGAAATCGGGTGGCAACTCCGCCCACTCCCCATATAACGGTACTGTTAAAAACTACTAAAAGCGCGATAAATCAAGCACTAAATACGTCAGATACATTAAATTTTATCTCTGAGATGGTATAAGATGACTTTATAGGAACCGCGTTCAAAATTAGACAGTGGGCGTGGCACAGCCCACTTTTAGGTGAAAACCCATATCTTGAGATCTGTTTAACCGATTTCAACCAAATTCGGTGCGTAACGTTCTTTTCATGTTTCTATGTCATAGTGCGAAAATGGGCGAAATCGGATTACAACCACGCCTATTTTCCATATGACACCATTTTAAATACCACTTGATTCTTTCACTTTCCACTATGCAAATCAAGCAACAATGATTATATCGGCGTAAAACTTTGCGTGAATAATACGTTTAAAGTATGCCACCTTGTGCCCAAAAATTCTCTAAATCGAACCAAAACTGTTCAAGCCCCTAGGTACTGAATATGTGGACCCCAGTGCCTATAGTTGACCTTCTACCGAAAATATCAGTCAATCCACAAAGAAATCTCAAACGAGTATACCATTTGACTTTGCGAGAGTATAAAATGTTCGGTTACATCCGAACTTAGCCCTTCCTTACTTGTTTTGAATTCTTTTATTTTCGCTTTTGGAATTTGTTGACTTAGGTTATTGTTTATTGTTTTTGAAATAAATGAGTCATTAGCGATTTGAAAGTGGAATGCTGCGGATGGTGAAATTTATTTGGCATAATTTATAAATAACCTTTTTTCAAACTGTGCTGAAAGCATTTGCTGGTGATACATATTTTTTACTAAGAAATTATTATTATTTTCCTTTTGAGTATGTGAGTTTCGAAAATCAAATCGAACTTATTACGAAATGTAAGATTAATTCACAACACATTATGTTTTTTCTATTTCAGGGAAGTTTTACTAATCTCAGAAGTTTCGAACATTTATGTATGGTAAAGTTTTGCGTTAAAATGGTAATATTTCCAAAATATGTATTCCCCATATTTAATGTATTCGTCCTCTCATGAATTACGATTATTCAACTACATTGCTGAGGCAGATGAGCTTCCGGCAACAATCTTGATGTAATTAAAATAAAATCTAATAGCAACATATTCATGGTGAAAAAGGTTTTTTGAACCTAAAATAGCCTATGAGAATAGTAAATATCTAATAAAATCGTATGTAACTGTAAACAAAAACGAATGTGCAAAAGCGCTTAGGTAACTTTCAATTTCTTCCGCAAACGCATAATTTTCGCATAGCCGCGTGAAAAGCGTGCGAAAAGAGGGCAAATTAGTTTACCAAGTGGGCGAAGGTAAGCAAATGTTTGGTGTGAACCATGGTGTGTGATGTTGTTTGAACCCATGGTGATTTTAGGTAAGCATCGTAGATGTGGCGCCGAAATTACTGCTGGTGACCAAAACGGTTAAAACAACTATGTTACAAAGCGGAAATGAAAGAGCAAACGCCATGGGAATGGAATTTTAAAACGAAGTAAAGCTAAAAAGAAGAAATATGAATAATAAAAAACTCATTGTATATACATATGTATATTAAGTATATAGTGCTAACATTGTTAGTAATAAACCGGTAGGAATATTATGCGAAGTCAATTTTGCAATTCAAGAACAACTTTTCAATTTGTTTGAACTATTTTCATCATCAATCCGGTAGCTTCTTTATTGGTCACAACTAATGAGATATTTTTTCTATGTTTTGGAGTACTTTTCCGTACATAACGGATGGTATTGGGATGATTTCGGTATGAATTTTGAACTTAGGCTTGTCAATAGTCCGAGGACTGCTAGTGTGCACTTTGCTTTCCAAATAACCTCACAGAAACAAGTCAGGAGATCTGGGGACACAGTCAATATCACCTCATTTCGACATCAATAGTCAGGGGCATAGACACGACGTCTTGTTGAAACTAGTAACTAATAAGATAAAGACAAAGAGCTAACACCGATATCCAATTTCTGCTTCAGTTTACTTGTAAAATATTTTTCTTGGAAGACTTTGTGGCAATCGCCAGTCCAAATTGTTATTTTTAGGACATTCTATGTTGTTTGCTGAATTTCCAATAGCTGATAAAGACGTAGAATGGCGATAATGTAAACATGCGTTCCACGATATCGGGGAAACCTTACACTGAGACTGTCGTGTGAGTATATCTAATTTATGGAGGAGCCACTGCATTAACGTTCTTAAAGGGGAATTCAGTTAAATGTATG